GGATTATGTTTTAAATTTTACCAAACACTTGAAAAAGAACTAATATCAATTTATCCCAAACTCTTCCAAACATTGAAGAGGAGGCAACTCCATACTCATTTTATAAGGCCTGCATTACTCTGATACCTAAGCCACAGAAGGATACTAAAAGAAAAATTCAATACAATATCTTTGATGAACATAGATGCCAAAGTACTAACATACTAAATCTGACAGTACATTAAAAGGATCATTCACTGTTATTAAGAACAAGGATATTTGAACATATGCAAATCAATAAATGTGATATACCGCATTGACAGAATGAAAGGCAAAAACCATATGATTGTCTTAATAGATGCAGAAAAGGCACTGACAAAATTCAATATACTTCATGACAAAAACTTCCAACAAATTACGTTTAGAAGGAACCTACCTCAGTGATAAATGCCACATATGACAACCCACAGCTAATATCATATTCAGTGGTGAAAAATTGAAACATTCCTTCTAAGCTCAGAAAGAAAATAAGGATGCCCATTCTCACCACATCTATTCAATACATTACTGAAAGTACTAGCTAGAATAAATAGGTAAGAAATAAAAGGCAACCAAATTGGAAAAGAAGAAGTAAGTTGTCTGTTTGCCAATGACATGACTTATATAAAGAAAATCTTAAAGATGTCAGCAAAAAACTTTTAGAATAAATGATTTCAGTAAAGCTGCAGATTAAAAAATGAACATACAAACACTGGTGGTATTTCTATACACTAACAATGAATTATTTGAAAAGGGAATCAAGAAAACAATCTCATTTATAATAACTACAAAAAAATTTTAAAAATACTTAGTACTAAATTTAACCAAGGAGGTGAAAGCTCTTTACACTAAAAGCTGTAATATATTGACAAAATAAATGGAAAAAAGAGAATTAAAAGTAAATACATTTATGTACATGGATTTTTAAAATATTGTTAAAATATCCAAAATAATTAGATTACCTACAGATTCAGTGCAGTCCCTATTGAAATTCCAACGGCATTCATCACAGAAATGGAATAAACAAAACCAAATTTGTATGTATTCATAAAAGACTCCAAATAGCCAAAGTAATTTTGAGAAAAAGGAACAAAGCTGGAAGCATCACACTCACTCACTATTTCAAACTCTATTACAAAGCCATAGTAATTAAAACAGTATAATACCATAAAACATGACACATACCAATGGAACAGAGTAGGGCGCCCAAAAATAAATTCACACATATATGAACAACTAAGATTTGACAAGGGTGCCAATAATACACAGTGGGAAAGGAAAAGTCTATTTAATAATGGTGTTGAAAAAACTATCCACATGCAAAAGAAAGAAACTTAAGTCTTGTCTTATGACATATACCAAAACTAACAGGAAATGAGTTAAAGATGTAAATTTAAAACCTGAAACTGTAAAACTACCAGAAGAAAACACAAGGAAAAACTCCCTGACAATAGTCTTGGCAATCATATTTTGGATACGACCACAAAAGCACAAGCAACAAAAAAAAAAACAAGTGAGACTATATCAAAGTAAAATTTCCACTGCACCACAAAAGAAACAATTGACCAAATTAAAAGGCAATCTACCAGATGGGAGAAAATATTAGTAAACCATATGTATAATAAGGTGTTGATATTCATGGTACACTAGGAAGTACACAAGTCAATAGCAAAACAAAAACTTAATTTTTCAATTGGCAAATATTTGAATAGATATATTCCCAAAACAGACATAGAAATAGTCAACATGTATATGAAAAGGTGCTCAACATCATTAACCACTGGGAAAATGCAAATTAAAACCACAATGAGATATCACCTCATACCTACTGGAATGGCCATTATGAGAAGACACATGATAACAAATGTTGGTAAGGATGTGGAGAAAGGGGAACCATTTTACACTACTGGTGGGAATGTAAATTGGTACAGGCATTATGGAAAACAATACAGGAGTTCCTCCAAAAATAAAAGATAAAACTTCTATATGTTCCAGCAATCTCACTTCTAGATATATACCTAAAGGAAATGAAATCAGTACCTCTAAAAGATAACTACACTTTGACGTTCACTGCAATGTTATTCACAATAGCTAAAATATGGAAACAACCCAAATGTACATCAATGGATGTACAGGTATATATGTTGTGGTACATATATGTGATAGACTGTCATTCAGCTACAGAAAGAAGTTTTGCCATTTGCAGCAACAAAGATGAGCCTAATGGACATAACAATAGGTAAAATAAGCCAGACACAGAAAGACAGGTACTGTACGATCCCATTTACATGTAGAATCTGAAAAAAAAAAAAAAAAAGGCTTATAGAAAGAGAGAGTAGAACAGTGGTTAGTGGTTGTCAGGGGTTTTAAAGTGAGAGAAAAGGGAAATATATTGATCAAAGGGTAGGAACTTTCAGCCATAAGATAAACATATTCTGGGTAACTAATATAAAACATGGATGGTGATTAATGTGTTAATTTGATTGCGGTAATCATTATACAATGTACATGTATGTCAAATTATCATTTCATATACCTTGAATATATCTGATCTTTGTCAATTAAATATTTATAAATTTAAAGATCTACAAAAGAAACAAATCCTTTACATTTCTATACACTAAAATAGATCTAAAAGGGAAATTAAGAAATTAATATCATTCCCAATAGAACCAAAAATAAAATAATTAATAGTAAACTTAACCAAGGAGGTGAAAGACTTGTACACTTAAAACAATGAAACATTGATGAAAGAAATTAAAGCAGATGCAAATAAGTGGAAAGACTTTCTTTGTTAATAGAATAATTAATATTGTTAAAATATCCACACTACCTGAAGCAACGTATAGATTCAATGCAATCCCTGTGAAAATCCTAAAAATCATGTGAAGGCACAAAGACTCATGAAGTCACATGGAGAGGGGAAAAGGTGGCAAGAAGGTTTTATTTAGGAGGGAAGAAATGTGATTACCTGCTAAAGGTTACACTCAACAGGGAGGACAGAGTTCACGTTATAGACGAGAGAAAGAAGAGTTAGTTGCCAGAGTAATTGCCTTTAGCAGAGAGGAGTGGGTGGAATGTGGTACACAGGAAGAAGGGTTTACTTCTGTAGATGCAGGATCAGGTCACCCAGTCTCAGGGGAAGTTAAAGGCAACTTAGTCACAGATGCAGGTCTATAGGTAATGGAAGTGACAGGAGATTGAGGAATTCTCACCTGCTACCTTTCTCAGTAAAACAGAAAGCAACATAATAAACAGAATAAGAATGGAAAAGGATTATTTGAAGATTCAGACCACTTTTTCTATAGCCTGAATATTTTTACCATGTACATAATTTATATTCATGAATATAAACTTTGGTTATTATCAAAAATAAAATATTTTAAAAATCACTTTTAGACCCCCTTGCATTTGGGGTTCCAGATGTTTTGGGTGCTTCCCATTTAATGTACTCATAAGAGATTTGAATTTGTAGTAAGCTAGTTAGGCAGAAAGGTAGTAAGAGAGGCTTCTGTTGCACTAGGGGCGATTTGACAGTCCACGGTGATTATGGATCATCAACTACATACCAGGCACATGACAGTGTTTTTCAGACAACAGATGGCTAAGATTGTAGCAAGAGCAACCTCCCTGACAACATAGGTCTTCTGTGTTAGTCTGTGAAGCATCTGTCAATGTCCAGCCTATAGTCTGCTCTTTTAGACTTTCCAGCTATTTTGTGAACACTTAATTCCCTATATTAAATGATGTTAGTTTAAAGGAAACGAACAAAGTGGACTTACCAAAATTTAAAACTTGTTCATTCAACATCCCACCACTAAGAAAATGAAAGTCAAGCTATTCGGCTGATAGAAAATGTGTGCAAGACATACATCTGGATATATTGTATTCATCTGAATATATTGTATATTGGATTATATATATAATTGCTTCTCAGCCTTCTAAGATCAAGTGAATATATTGTACCCAGAATATGTAAAATATATATATATATAACTAGAATGATTTCTTCTCTGACACAGAATCCTAACTGGTCTACCAAAGGACAGTCATTATTGTACTTACAGTGAAATCAACTGGCAATAAGATCAAGCATACAGCTAAAAGTCATATAAATTTGCTAGGATTAATAATGACACTCTAGAAAAAAACAAAATGATTTTGTGATCTTTTTCAATAAAAGTAACCAGCTTTCTTTTGCCACTCTTTGCTTTTTTATGGAAGAAAAACTGGTAGTTTAATACCTTTCAAAGTATACTTACAAGTATAATATTTCCTCTCAGTGATATTTTTCAACGCTTTGATATCTGCACAGAATCTTGAGTTTGTAGCCCTGAGTCATTTATGAACCTTCAGTAGAGGAATCATTCTTTTGCTTAAAGTAACAGAATGATTTCTTATTTCAACTGTAATAAAATTAAAACTCATAATTACTATGTAGACCATACGTTTTAGACACGACCAGTATCTCCAAATTTAAGTCGAATCATTTTCACATTAAATTACTATATTCCAGGTAACTTGAACTTTATTGCATCCCTCAAATATACCAAGTTCATTATCATCTATGAGTTTTTGCACTACCTGTGCCCTCTGTCTAGGATACTATAGACTCAAATGTTTGCATGTTTAGTTTATCCAGATATGGTCCAAAACGTCAGCTCCTCAAGAGGGCCTTTTTTGATGATTAAATGCAAATTGGTTACTCCCAATTCAGAGTCACAATCTATCATTTCACTTTTCTTTTTCGTTTTTACAGAGCAGTATCTCCTCCTGAAACTATGCTGTTTATTTTCTACTTTAACGGCTATTTTTACTAGGTTGTATCTCTTGGAGAGCAGACAGAACTTATCTCTCATTCATATTTCTTTCTTCTGTTCCTAGAATAGTCCTGACAAATGGGGCGCATTCAATGATTGCAGTACTTGGAAATAAACAAATCCATTTCAATAAACAAATCAATTTCAGATAAAATTCTACAGTCTTTTTTTATTCTTTTATTTTGCCCTTTTTTAAAGCTATGTGCTTATTAAACAGTTTTTTCATGGAAGTTTTCACTTCCTGGTTGCGAAGGGTATAAATGACAGGATTCAACAAAGGAAAGATCACAGTGTGGAAGAGAGAAACCACCTTGTCAGCTGGGAAAGCCCTGAAGGGGCGCGTGTAGATGAAGATGCCAGGTCCAAACATGAGGAACATAACAATGATATGGGTGGAGCACGTGGACACGGCCTTGTTTTTCCCCTCAGAAGAAGACCCTCGTATACGACAAAGAATGACTGCATAGGAGGTCAGAAGCCCCAGGAAGCACAGGAGTGTCATCAGGCCGCTGTTGAAGACCATCAGAAGCTCCACCACGAATGTGTCGGTGCAGGCCAGCTTGATGACCTGTGGGACATCACAGAAGAAGTTGTCCAGCTGGTTTGGGCCACAAAAAGGCAAGCGGAGGATGAGGACCACCTGGATAATGGAGTGGACAAAACCCCCAAGCCACAGAGCCAACAACATTGCATAACAGGCTCTAGGGTTCATAACAGTTGAATAGTGTAAAGGCCGGCAGATGGCGATGTAGCGGTCAAAGGCCATCACAACAAGGAGTAATCCCTCCCCTCCTCCAAGGAAGTGCAAGAAAAAGAGCTGAGTGATGCAGCCTCTGTAGGAGATGACCTTCTTCTCAGAGAGGAAGTCCACCAGCATCCTGGGAGCCACAATGAAGGAGTAGGAAGCATCCAGGAAGGCCAAGTTGCCCAGAAAGAAGTAGAGTGGGGCTGTGAGCCCAGGGTCTGACCTTATGGTGAAAACGATGAGGAAATTACCAGGGAGGATGATAAAGTAGAAAATTAAGATCAGCACAAAGACCAAGAGCTGAATATCTCGAGACTGGGTCAGACCAAGAAGGATGAATTCTGTTATCACTGTTCTGTTCTCGCTTTGCATTTCCCTGGCCTGAAGTATATGAACAAGCAGAATTAATTGTTATTACTATGTCTTCCAACTAGATACTAATTCTACAGCTAAAAAATATTTGGCACATACAGTACTTCAGCTAAAAACACTTCCCATACCTCTCCTATTCTGAGTAAACTCCATTACCTTAATTTCTCCAAGTTTAAAATGAAAACAAAATACTGTTCTCAAAGCTACAATTTTATTCCTATTCAACCACGTGCTTCTACAGAATCATTTTCCACTTTGGGAGTCTGGCATCCCCCATGTTGGAATTCCTACATTCTTAAATCATGTAAGTTTCCTGATGGATACACAACCTAACTGCAAGTCTTTGAGTTTTTGTGGATATACTGTGTTTGAGTCTTAGCTCTTTTCTTGGGATTGACCCTTTTTCTCGTTGTCCACACAACCCCAAAATTTTGCTTGACATTTTCTTCCCTCAATTTTTGTATAATTCCCAGTTCCTATATAGTAACTCTCTTCCTTGACTTCTGTCTTATCATCTGATCTGCTTCTTATTATACTCCTCTGGTCAGACATCCTTGTATACTCTTTTCCCAGACTGTTCACCAGAATCCCAAGCTACAGCTCCACTTTTCACCTAATACAAACATAGTACTCCAGCTGTAAATCTGAGCACCACTCCTGTGGCTACTCCACACCTGCATGCAGCTTATTAGGCACTTTTTGAGTTTCAAATACTAATAAACTTGCAACATATTTCTTTCTCTCTTCCCAGTATGACACCCATATACAGCCTTTCAACAAACAATATCATATGCTACAATATAAAATTTGCAAGTATAATACTTTAAATTCATGATTTCAACTCACAAAATTATAGCATAGATACACCATAAGGAGCCATAAAGATACTGTAGTCTTCATATGATTGCATATTTAGAAGACCCCATTATCTCAGTCCAAAATACCCTTAAGATGATAAGCAACTTCAGCAAAATCTCAGGATATAAAATCAAGGCGCAAAAATCACAAGCATTCCTATACACCAAGAACAGACAAACAGAAAGCCAAATCATGAGCAAACCCTCATTCACAATTGCTACAAAGAGAAAAAAAATACCTAGGAATACAATCAATAAAGGACATGAAGGACCTATTCAAGGAGAACTACAAACTACTGCTCAAGGAAATAAAAGAGGACACAAACAAATGGAGAAACATTCCATGCTCACAGTTAGGAAAAATCAATATCGTGAACATGGTCATACTGCCCAAAGTAATTTACAGATTCAATGCCATCCCCATCAAGCTACCATTGACCTTCTTCACAGAACTGGAAAAAACAAACTTAACCTTCATATGAAACCAAAAGAGAGCCTGCGTAGCCAAGACAATATTAAGCAAAAAGAACAAAGCTGGAGGCATCACTCTACCTGACCTCAAACTGTGCTATAAGGCTACAGTAATCAAAATGGCATGGTACTGGTACCAAAACAGAGATATAGACCAATGGAACAGAACAGAGGCCTCAGAAGTAATGCCACACATCTACAATCATCTGATCTTTGACAAACCTGAGAAAAACAAACAACAGGGAAAGGATTCCCTGTTTAATAAATCATGTTGGGAAAACTGGCTAGCCATGTGCAAAAAGCTGAAATGGACCCATTCCTTACACCTTATATAAAAACTAACTTCACATGGATTAAAGATTTAAACATAAGACCGAACCCCATCAAAACCCTAGAAGAAAACCTAGGCAACACCATTCAGGACATAGGCATAGGCAAGGACTTCATGACTAAAACACCAAAAGCAATGGCAACAAAAGCCAAAATAGACAAATGGGATCTAATTAAACTTAAGAGCTCTGCACAGCAAAAGAAACAATCATTAGAGTGAATCAACAACCAACAGAATGGGAAAAAAATGTTTGCAATCTACCCATCTGACAAAGGGCTAATATCCAGAATCTATGAAGTACTAAAACAAATTAAAAAAAAAAAAACCATCAAAAAGTAAGCAAAGGATATGAACAGACACTTTTCAAAAGAAGACATTCATGTGGCCAACAAACATATGAAAAAATACTCATTATCACTGGTGATTAGAGAAATGCAAATCAAAACTACATTGAGATATCGTCTCATGCCAGTTAGAATGAGATCATTAAAAAATCTGGAGACAGCAGATGCTGGAGAGGATGTGGAGATATGGGAACACTTTTACGCCGTTGCTGGGAGTGTAAATTAGTGCAACCATTGTGGGGACAGTGTGGCAATTCCTCACGGATCTAGAAATAGAAATACCATTTGATCCAGCAATCCGAGCATCTGGGTATATACCCAAAGGATTAAAAAGCATTTTATTATAAAGACATACGCACACATATGTTCATTGCAGCACTGTTTACAATAGCAAAGACTTGGAACCAACCCAAATGCCCATCAAGGATAGACTGGTGTAAAGAAAATATACATCGTGGAATACTATGCAGCCATAAAAAAGGATGAGTTCATGTCCTTTGTAGGGACATGGATAAAGCTGGAAACCATAATTCTCAGCAAACTGACACAAGAACAGAAAACCAAACACTGCATGTTCTCACTCATAAGTGAGTGCTGAACAATGAGAACATACTGATACAGGGAGGGGAGCATCACACACTGGGGTCTCTGTGGGGTGCTGGCCAGGGGAGTGATAATAAGGTGTGGGGTGCATCCCTCTGCACCCTCCAGTGTCTATAAAGTACTAAAACAAATTTTTGTACTTCTAAAACAAATTTTTGTTTTAGTACTTTGTAGATTCTGGAAGGTGCAGAGGGATGACATTAGGAGAAATACCTAATGTAGGTGAAGGGGGGATGGACGCAGCAAACCACCATGGTGTGCGTATACCTATGTAACAATGCTGCAAGATCTGCACATGTACTCTAGAACTTAAAGCATAATTTAAAAAAAAATACTGTTGTCTTATTCTTCCATTTCTAAGATGAGAAAACAAAAGCTCCTGTGGTTATATTAAGTTTAGAGTTTTATTTTTTGCTCTTCTTTTGATAAGTAGTAGGATAATGCAAGTGTACACTATTCAGTTTAAATAGATAAAGAATTTTTTAATCAAGCTTTCATGAATGAGTGCTCTTTTTTGTGCAGTTGAATAACTAAAAATAATATTGCCGGTCTAAAATCACTTCTGTATTGCTTTGATTTGTAAGTTCAACCTTGTTTAAATAAAAAGAAAAACAATGTGCATTGTGAAGAAAATTCATATTTAACATTCATATTTTTTCAGGGAGTATACTCATTCCAGAAGGTGCACATGATAATCCACGGAAGTATAGAAAGAACATAGTGATTTATCTATATTTAGCAGATGTTTAACATTTTATACATATCACTACACTTCATTCTTTTCAAAGTTCACTGCTTAATATTTATAATGGATAACATGTTATTACAATGGTTTACATATACTTTATAAATAAATATGCATACATTTAAGGTTACATACGAAAAAATGTCTTATAGGAATAAATTTTTTAAGTTTGAAAATTGCTGGCCTACAACAAAATGCAAACTGTAATATAAAAGGATATTTTTCATATAATTTAACTAAACAGCATATTTGTTTTAAGTAAGTGCTCTAGCACATGGGGTGCAGAAAATCTTTGACAGAAAATGCTACTGTGACATTACCTAGAAAAGAAAGACAAGAAGACAGAGAATGAGGGAAAGGAAGAAGAGAGAAACAGACAAGTAAAAAAACAAGCAAGCAAACACCAAAATACAGACCGCACATCTATATAGTGTCATCTTAGGGTACTTATCTTAAGAAGCATTAAAACGATCTGCTTTATGTATCCCTAGAACTGAATAGAGTGGTTAACACAGAAATTTCTGGGTGTCACTAGAAGCCACAAGTGGAATTTATTAAAGTCATACTTTAACACATCATCATATACATATGCAAATACCGCATGAACACATAGATATGCACACAAATACAAACAAACACACGCCAAATTTTAACAGGAAAAAATATTTTGTAGTCCATCCAAATGAGCTTTTCTCCTCATGTCTTAACCTTCCCCCCATTGCCAGCCATTTGTCTCAACATTTATTCTACTATCTGCCTATATAAATACTTCCTTAGATCAAGAGCCCCTTCTCTTGTTGAACAATGCAGGAGTTAGCGGGCAGACCCCCTGTGCCATAAAAAAAAAAACATATAAGTTGACTTCCTAAAGACTTAGTTTCTAATAGCCTGCTGTTGATCACAAAAACAGTTGAATAACATATATTTTTATGTTTTATGAATTATATACTATGTTCCTATAGTTACAGAAAAGAAAATGTAACAAAATCATAAGGAAAGGAAAATATAGATACTATTCATTAAGTGAAAGTGGATCATCAAAAAGTTCTTATCCTTGTCATATTCCCATTGTGTAGGCTGAGGAGAAGGAAGAGAAAAGGTTAGTTTTGCTGTCACAGGGGTGGCAGAAGTGGAAGAAAATCCACATGTAAGTGGACCCATGTGGTTCAAACCCATGTTGTTCTGGGGTCAACTGTACTTACTTATATGTTTTATGCATCCCACATGCTCACATAGAGTGAGGTATTTAGCAATATCCCTGAGACATTTGAAGATTTCTGAAGGACTTTGAAATTGAAGGTTATAAGCTCTTCCATTCTGTCTGTGTCCCAGCCTTACTGTTATTTTTCCACTGTTTCTTAACAGATGGAATTCGGTACTACTTGACATCTTTTTTTTTTTTTAAGTTTCTTCCCTGACCCATTCCCTCCTTTGAGTTATCTCTACCTTCTCTAAATGGTGGTTTTTGAATAGATGCAGAGACTAATCAGATGAGCATTCCTCTAAGCAAAATAAAATAAGTTTCTACCAAAAAAATCTATATAAGATGGCATCATCAGAGTGAAGTGTTCTATTTTAGCCAAATTAGTAGGGAAAGTTGTGTCAAAAGAGTCTGTACCACATCTCCTCACTGTATCTCTAATCCTTCC